AAGAAAAATAAGGAAAAAAAATTAGGTCAGAACCTGACCACACACTGTAAATGTCCAAAAATAGCCTGATACGCCGATGTATGAAAGAGCAAAAATAGAACATAATTTGCATACCATAGTAAATAGCAGTACCAATGTAAAATAAGGTGACCAGATAACAAATCAGAAACCCCCAAATGTTTTGGCTGTAAGCCTTTCTCAAAGTAGGATTTTCTTTTGGACACACCACAAGTGCCATGTGCATCAAGACAGCATGTTGAATCCTTAACTGTGGGAGTATGAAAAAGATTTTTAAAAAAGCCATATTACTAGTCATTATAGTGGCTGGTCATAACAAAACATGGACACCTCCTAAAAAAAGGGAATAAAATGTAAATATAGGAAGGCCCAAGTCAAGAACAGTTGAAAAAGTGAAAAATATCAACAATGGATAGTAAAGTTCATAAACAAATAATCATTAACACTCAGAAGTTGTAATGATATGAATATCATATATTTTAACAGTTGTTATGCATTTGTTTCACATTCCACTTTTTGGATATTTGGATGCTGTCTAATCTGTAGACAGTTCTCTATATTGCGGCAAGAGATTGTATTTTTGAAGTCTGATATTTGTGAATTATCTGGTAAACAAACTCAGGCTGGAACTGCTGCAAAGCCACTGCCGCAGAGATGTACTAGGAATGGCAGATGGATTACTGTAGGATCTGGTAGAGTTGTGGATAAAAGGCATATTGCACAGTCTGTTGCTCTACATAATTCATTTTCTGCACTTTTAGAGTGTAATGGTGTTGTGGAGACAGGCTCAGCCACTGAGGGTAGTGGTGTTGTGGAGACAGGCTTGGAGTCTATGGTGAGGCCTAATAGAAAGCAGTTGTTGATAAGCTTAGAGTCATGTCTACAAATGCTCGCAGTTTAGGGAATAAGATCCATGAACTTGTGGCAATAATGGCAACTGATAATGTAGATTTGGTCGCTGTTACTGAGACATGGTATAATGAGAAAAATGTCCGGGATAGGCAATACCAGGGTACTCTTTATATAGAAAAGACAGGGAAGGCAAAAAAGGGGGAGGGGAGCCTAATAAACGTTAGTGAGGCGAACATAGAGTCCGTTTCGGTTACGTTAGAATTTGGTAATCACACAGTAACTCGTGTAGGTGTGATTTATATGCCCCAGGACAAATAGAAGAGTTAGATAATCTACTAGTTGAGGAAATAGCTAAAATGACAAAAGGAGGAAGTTATCATTATGGGTGACTTTAATCTTCCTGATGTGAATTGGAAAACCAAAATAGCTGCTTGTGCCAGGAGCACACATATTCTAAACTCCCTACTGGGATTGTTTCTAAAACAAGTCATTGAGGAGCCAACTGGTAAGGAGGCCATACTAGATTTAGTGTTAACAAATGGAGATTTGGTATCAGATATTACTGTAGGTGAAAGTTTAGGATCCAGTGATCATCTGTCAGTGTGGTTTAATATAAGAACAGTGACTGAGTCACACCACACAAAAATAAAAAAGTTTTTAGAATTAGAATATGTGTAAAGGAGTCATTATCAGACTGGAGCAATTTAAATGGAGTCCAAGAGAAATGGAATTATTTAAAAGTTGCACTGCTGAAGGCAACAGAAAATTGCATTAGGCTTGTCAGTAAAAGCAAAAAAATCAAGAAACCACTGTGGTACTCCGCAGATGTGGCCAAAATAGTAAAAAAACAAAAAAAGACAGAATGATCTATAAAATTAGGCAGAAAGAGGCTAAGCAAGTTCTAAGAGCTTCCAAATCACACACAGAAGAGAAAATAGCACAGTCAGTAAAAAAATAGGGGTCAAAACATTTTTTAGATACATAAATGAGAAAAGGAAAGTAAAACAAGGATTAGGTAGATTAAAAACAAAAGAAGGAATGTATGTAGAAGAGGATAAAGGTCTAGCTGACTGCCTCAATTAATATTTTTGTTCAGTATTTACAGATGAAAATGAAGGAAAGGAGGCCTCAGTTAAGAAAAAGGAAAAATTAGTCATTTGTTTCATGTGAGTTTACAGAGGAAGAGGTTCTATTTCAACTGTCAAAAGTAAAGACAAATAAGTCAATGGGACCTGATGGACTAAACCCAACGTTATTAAAAGAGCTTAGTGGTGTACTAGCAAGACCATTAACAGATTTATTTAACCAATCATTGTTAACAGGAGTAATCCCAGACGATTGGTAGTTAGCAAATGTTGTGCCCATTCACAAGAAAGGTAGTAGGGAGGAGTCGGGCAACTATAGGCCAGTAAGCCTTACTTCAGTAGTGGGGAAAGTAATGGAAACCATGTTAAAGGATAGGATTGTTGAACATCTAAGAATACATGGATTTCAAGATCAGAGACAACATGGGTTTACTTCAGGGAGATCATGCCAAACTTATTGATTTTTTTTGATTGGGTAACTGAAATAATAGATCAGGGTGGTGCAGTAGACATTGCTTACCCAGATTTCAGTAAGGCTTTTGACACTGTTGCACATAGGAGGCTTATCAATAAACTGCAATATTTAAGTTTGGATTCCAATATTGTTGAATGGGTAAGGCAGTGGCTGAGTGACAGGCAACAGAGGGTTGTATTCAATGGAGTATATTCGAAGCATAGGCTTGTCACCAGTGGGGTACCTCAGGGATCTGTACTTGGACCCATTCTCTTTAATATTTTTATTAGTGATATTGCAGAAGGCCTTGATGGTAAGGTATGTCTTTTTGCTGATGATACTAAGATATGTAACAGGCTTGATGTTCCAGGAGGGATAAGCCAAATGGCAAATGATTTAGATAAACTAGAAAAATGGTCAGAGTTGTGGCAACTGACATTTAATGTGGATAAGTGCAAGATAATGCAACTTGGACGTAAAAACCCAAGGGCAGAGTACAGACTATTTGATAGAGTCCTAACCGCAACATCTGAGGAAAGGGATTTAGGGGTGATTATTTCTGATAACTTAAAAGGTAGGCAGAAAATGTAATAGAGCATCAGGAAATGCTAGCAAAATGCTTGGTTGTATAGGGAGAGGTATTAGCAGTAGAAAGAGGGAAGTGCTCATGCCATTGTACAGAACACTGGTGAGACCTCACTTGGAGTATTGTACGCAGTACTGGAGATCGTATCTCCAGAAGGATATTGATACTTTAGAGAGAGTTCAGAGAAGGGCTACTAAACTGGATTGCAGGATAAAACTTACAAAGAACAGTTAAAGGAACTTAACATGTATAGCTTGGAGGAAAGACGAGATGGGGAGATATGATAGAAACATTTAAATACATAAAGGGGATCAACACAGTAAAGGAGGAGACTATATCTAAAAGAAGAAAAACTACTACAACAAGAGGACATAGTCTTAAATTAGAGGGGCAAAGGTTTAAAAATAATATCAGTAAGTATTACTTTACTGAGAGGGTAGTGGATGCATGGAAGTGGTACCAGCTGAAGTGGTAGAGGTTAACAACATAAAGGAGTTTAAGCATGCGTGGGATAGGCATAAGGCTATGCTAGCTATAAGATAAGGCTAAGGACTAATGAAAGTATTTTTGTTAAAAATTGGGCAGACTAGATGGGCCGAATGGTTTTTATCTGCCGTCACATTCTATGTTTCTATGAATCAAGTAAAACCTTCATTCCATTTATAGCCTTTTTCCCTGTGAATTTAATGAGCATCCAGGAAGAATGACAAATGTATATTGTGATGGGCCCCATAGCCAAATGTCGCATAGCATTAATAACTGCCAAATTGTTAGAGGTACTAGTGTCAAACATGCTAGCAGCATATGAGGATAAGAACGTGCACTTGAAAATAAAGAAAACAGGATTTATAACACTAACTCAAGTTTTTTTTTCATACCATTGGTCAATGTTTTGTTGGATTTACATTACAAGTGCAAGCCACATTCATTCTAATGAATATCTGGAGCACTTACAGTATAAACATGTCAAGTTTTTTTTAAGAATGTTTCCTTGAAGAAAGGTTTATATGGTTTCTGTGTCAGACACAAGTCTCTCTCATTTAGGTTCAGTTAAGATAAATTTTAATATGAAATATATACAGTATTCATATATTAAAATTCACAATTTGTACCTTGATCGATTTTTCAACTTCAGCTGTGACTTTAATCTGTCTATCTCCCAGCATTTACATTTTTAGCCAAAGAAAAAAAAAAAGAGTTCCTCATGCACTATCCCAAACTGAAATAACTGTAGATTTTTTAGTATCACTTCAATGGCCAATTAAGTGTAAGCTCACCTGCCACGTCAAGGCAAACCTCTTAGGTGAGCCCTAAGCTAACCATTCACCTTGCTTCTTTCAGTTTCAGGTAAAAATTCTCTAATGAGACAGAGAGGGGTATTTTTCTAAATCCCTACATACCTATTAACCCTTAACAGGGAACACACGGTGTAGGTGCAGCATTGTAACATGGCTGTGTAATACAAAAGCAAATACAAGTATACAAAAATAAGCTCTATGGAAGGTTTCTATGACAAGAGCTATTTGATAGGGATCGACCGATTATCGGTCTGGCCGATATTATCGGCCGATATTTGGTATTTTCGGCAATATCGGTATCAGCCAATTCAGATACCGATATTGCCGATAATATATAACAGGACCGCCGGGCCCATTACAAGCCCGGCGGTCCTGTGGGGGGCCAGCAGCAAGCGCTGACTTACCTTGCATGCAGCTCCCTATGTAAATCTCGCGAGACCCGCGGCCGCAGAGCGTTGCCACGGGTTACCATGGCAACGCTCCGCGCAGCACTAAGAGCCGCGAGATTTACACAGGGAGCTGTAGGAGCTGCTTGCAAGGTAAGTCAGCACTTGCTGTTGCTGAGCCACCACTGTACTTAACAAGCCACTGGACCACCAGGGGATACTATATCCCCCTCCCTGGTAAGAAGCAGGGAGGGGGGACTAAACAAATAAAAAAAAAATATTAAAATAAAAAATTACACAAATTACATCACTACACACACACAAACACACACTGCACACATACTGCATTACATACATACATACTGCATTACATACACACTACACAGACTACACAGACACACACACACTACACAGACACACACACACTGCATTACATACACACACTACACAGACACACACACACTACATTACATACACACACTACACAGACACACACTGCATTACATACACACACTGCATTACATACACACACACACTACACAAACACACTACACAAACACACTACACACATACTGCATTACATACACACTGCATTACATACACACTACACAAACACACACTGCATTACATACACATACTGCATTACATACACACACTACACAAACACACACACTGCATTACATACACACACAAAAACACACTGCATTATACACACACAATACATAAACACACTGCATTATATACACACTACACACACTGCATTATATACACACTACATTCATTATACACACACTACACAAACACACACTCTGCATCCACTACACACACAGTTCCCCTGTCTAAACACACTTCATCCACTACATGTGGCATGTATATTTTGTGCATTTACCTTTCGAATTAGTTTATTTATTCAAAATAGTAAATGTACAGAATATCGGCAAGATATCGGCTATCGGCCTGAAAGTTCGCAGATTATCGGTATCGGTATCGGCTCTAAAAATACCAATATCGGTCGATCCCTACTATTTGCCCAGAGAATATCTAGTCTCTGAATTAGTAGCACTTTCATCAGAAGAAATGTTTATCTCATTCCATCAGGATGAGGTGATATTGAGAACAGTTGTCATGGTTCTGATCAGGTCAGACAAGAGACTTATGCAGGGGTTGACTTAAGGTAGTTAATTTCAGTTATTAGACATGGTTAGACAAAAGATAAGAATAAACAGAGAAAAAGGGAAAGGTATAATAAAGACAAACGGAGAAAGCAGAACATAGAAACAGAATTACAGGGGAGTATGAAAATAGACGTTTAGGCAATATGCCCCAAAACAGGTTTACAGGAGACAGGGAAACAATTAGATAAAACTAAGCAGGAATATAAAGGTTAAAGCAGCAATTGAGGTGATCAGCCTCTTAGGTTTCTAGTCAGAACTGCAATTTCAGGGTCTTTGAGGATACTTGCAAATAATAAGGATGTCTATAATATCCAGGCAGGTTGGGAGAAAATCAATGTGAACCCAAAGTCCAGTATAGAAAACAAGCAGGTTCGTATTGGAGGTCAGGTTGGAATAAATCAGGATGGTTGAAGGTAAGCAAGGGTGGAACAGGTTTCCTTTAGCTTTAGAAAGAGCCAGGAGCAGAAGACATGTCAGGTTTAAGATCACAACTTCTCTTAATGTAAAGGCCATGTAATGAGTTGGGTGTTGCCGTTTATAGCAGACTTGGATTATCATGCTATGCAGGTAAGAGAGACTGAGGTGACTAGTGGTTAGGGAGGCCCCTAGTGGTGAAAACTGGAACTGTAATTAAACAAAACAGGAGAAATTAAACATGTTTTGAATTGTCAGGATAGGACCCTGACAACAGTTTTAGAGTTCAGGCCTAAAGTGGTGTCATACTTTCATATGAATCAAGAGATACTTTTTGCCTGTTTTCTCTCCATCTCCTTCTTCTGAGGAGGAACAGTTGTCTCACACCCTGGATGTGGTTTCCTGTCCATAGGTCTGCCTCAACAAGCATCTCCTTAAATCTCTAGGTGGCTGGTCTCGGCCATTACTAAAGCTTATGAGGCAAAACAAGTTCCAGTTACTCAGAGACTCAAGGCCTATTCCACCAGAGCTCTCTACACTTCCTGGGCAGCTGTTGCACAATCTCTTCTGATCAGATCTGCAGAGCAGCTACATGGTCATCCTAAAATACCTTTTTCTGGCATTGTCGATTGTACGTGAGGTCTTCTAAAGAGACTCAGTTTGGTTATGCCGTCCTGTCGGCTTCCTGAACCTCTAATTTTTAACTTAATAAATTTTGAGCAGCCATTCTGGTATTCTGCCTTTTTATTTAACCCCACCCCTGGAGTTTGTAACTTGGGCATTGCCCTACAGTAGTGCTGCAATGGCCATGTCTGGGAAAACAGAAAATAATTTCATACTTAGCAATATTTCCCGGTAAAGGGCTATGGCAGCACTATGCAACCTCTCACTCTCTCTTTCTCTCTCTCTCTCTCTATATATATATATATATATATTTTAAAATCAAAATACTATATATATATATATATACACACACACACACACATATTTAACCCCTTAACGCTGTTACAGCATTCTATGCCGTCCCCATTATAAAGCCGTTGCGGTGGCATAGAACATTGTAATGGCTTAAGCCCCCAGGCGCTCCGCGGTACTTACCTCCGCCGCGATCCTCTTCGGGAGGACTGCCTGACAGCCTAGGCAGCCCTCCCTCGGCAAATCAGGCCCCCAAGAGCCATGTGATCGCTCTCAAAGAGCTGGCTGTGGATTTGCCAGCAGGGACACTATCTGGTGGGTAGCATTAAAAAAAACTTATTAGTAAACATGTAAAATAAATTAAAAGTGTAGTACATATATTAGTATTAAAATACACTTAGAATGAAGTTACATATATATAAGATATATATTATATATATATATATATATATAATACATATATATATTTTATATTTATATATATATATATATATATATATACACGCATAATTACAATAATAAATACATAAAAGAAATAAATAAAATATTTTTAAAAAATGAAAATACATTATATATACATATGTAATTTCATTTTTACTGTATTTTGTTATAAATATATATTGGTAACAAAATACACTTAGAATGACATTCTATCTATATCTATCTATCTATATATATATATATATATATATATATATATATATAAAAAATACAAATAACTGCAAATATATATAAATAGATAAATATATATATTATATATTACATAAATATTGTATATATTATATTTAACATACATGATTGCATAAGTATACATGTAGAATTTAAATACATATATTTGTATATATATTAAAATTCTACATGTATATTTAAGTAATCTTTTAACATAATAATGTGATTTTATAAATTAAAATTTGATTGATATGCCTGACAACCCAGGCAGAAAGTGCAGAGAATTTAATTCTGTAACTTTGTAACTAACCCTGTAACTTTCCAAGACACCATAAAACCTGTACATAGGGGGTACTGTTTTACTCGGAAGACTTCGCTGAACACAAATATTAGTGTTTCAAACTAAAAAATTGTATTACAATGATGATATTTTCAGAATTTTTTGCATTTTTTACACACAAACGGCACTTTTACTGACGATATTGTTGTAATAAGTTTTACTGTTTTGAAACACTAATGTTAGTGTTCAGTGAAGTCTTCCAAGTATAACAGTACCCCCCATGTACAGGTTTTATGGTGTTCTGGAAAGTTAGAGAGTCAAACATGAGGCTTGTATTTCATTTTTTTCACATTGAAATTTGCCAGTTTGGTAATGTTGCCTTTGAGACCGTATGGTAGCCCAGGAATGAGAATTACCCCCATAATAGCATACCATTTGCAAAGGTAGACAACCCAAGGTATTACAAATGCGGTATGTCCAGTCTTTTTTAGTAGCCACTTAGTCACAAACACTTTGCAGAAAAATTACCTCTGTCCTCTGTCATTTTTTTCACATTGAAATTTGCCAGTTTGGTAATGTTGCCTTTGAGACCGTTTGGTAGCCCAGGAATGATAATTACCCCCATAATAGCATACCATTTGCAAAGGTAGACAACCCTAGGTATTACAAATGTCCAGTCTTTTTTAGTAGCCACTTAGTCACAAACACTTTGCAGAAAAATTACCTCTGTCCTTATGGGGTTAATTGACAGTTTAGCATCTACTAATCTACTAAAATGTTCTATACACTATTCTCGTAGAAAATGTTTCCTCCTGGTATAGTTTTGGACATAAAAAGTATCCATATAAACATATATATATTTCTTGTCATACACTGTGCAATAACTAATTTATCATCTTTATGATCCTTTTTAACTTGTTCAAATTAAACATTTATACCTTGTTTTTAGGTTAATTTACAAAAGCTATCTCTCACCTGCCTGAGTTCACAGGTTTACTGTGACATCTCATCATTATATGAGCCTAATTACACCATCTTTAAAAATTAAATAAATCATATTTTCTTGAGATGTGATAAGAATATCATATGTGGAGAGTTGCAAACATTAACGTGATCTCTACAAATTTAGGTTCCTTGTACAGCTTCAAACCTTCTTAATGCCACTTAATGAACAATAATTCAAATACAAGAAAATGAGTTTATACAGGAGGGAGCCAAACCTAACATTACTTGTGATTACTATGTGCCTCCATATAAAATTGAGCGTTTTACTATTTTCCAATTTCCTTCTTTATTCCCCCGCTATTCTGCCCATTGATGGCATCTTAAAAATTAGCTCTACCTATAATGCAGAGACTTTGCAACTACATCTGTTACCTAAACCATCAGCAGGATGCCATAAACAAACGTATTATTTATTTTTCTCTTTATTCTATGTTATTATTCTAAGTAGTTATACATGTTTTGGTTTATTCAATGTATTAGAGAGTCCGTAAGAGATCTAATAATTATACACTCAGATGTATCCATCCTAGGATCGTTGCCCCGGGGCCTTACAGCCCTTTGTACTCCACTACCCCCCACCTACTTTCATGTCTCCTTATCCAACTGTTTATTGCTCACAATGTGGAATTGAGTCTCTCAATGATTACAATAGATACCTATATCAAAGATATGCTTTTCAGTATTAAAAGCAGGGCCGGTGCATCCATAAGGTGGCACAGGCAGCAGCCTTAGTGGGGGCGCTAGATTCGAGTGACCAGGCAGGAGGGAATCGCCCTGTGCTCCCTCCTGTCATTCACTCGTAGCGTGGCCAAGTGGAGCGGACCGCGGTACAGGATGACTTCCTGGCCGTCCGTCCGGGTACAGGAAAATAAGCTCCTGTACCTCGGTCCGCTCCGCTCGACCACGCTACAAAAGAGGACACAACAGGGAGGGAGGGGAGGAAAACTAAGAGATGGGGAGGACTCTAAGGAACTGGGGAGGGAAGGTAAAATAAATACTAAGGGACAAGGGGAGGGTGTGCACTAAAAGAGAGGGAAGGGAGGGGAGAAAAAAAAATAACCAATAGATGGAAAAATAGGAGGATAATTTAAAAAAATCTGTATGTATATATATTTATCTCCTGTTTTCCTTCTATTGCTCACATCTCAATTTATTTGTGAATAAAATCAGGGTTCAGCATTTCCTACCAATCATTTGTTTTTTTTGGCCCAAAGGCAGAATTCAGAATTACAAACTAAAATGGACATGCCTGGCTATTGCGCGTTTCAGTTTGTTTGTGATTTGGGTGCGTTAGGGCTTGGAGTTCAGAAATTCAACATATCACATTTGGACAAATTGCAGTTAAGACCCAAACAAGTCTCCAAGTCTAGTTAAAACATGGTGAACCTTTATCTGAGTGAACACTAACTAAAAGCATGCTGGAAAAAGGCTTGGCAGATTTGGAAATGGTCTTGATGACTTACAATTGCCTCCTAATTGTAGATTATACTAGCTTTAGTGTAACTATAATCTTAATTTTATT